TGTGTGTGTGTGTGTGTGTGTGTGTGTGTGTGTGTGTGTTCCAGGAGGGTCACAAGGGGGTCAGGATTCTTGATGATGTGGTGGAAATCACCGTAGAGAACGAGGTCATCGCTGACCTGTCTGAGCCAATCAGGATTGGCTTTCACCATGATGTCATACCTGTAAGCTTGTGTGCTTTCTGTGCCTTCATTTTGTCTGTGACACTGTGATCTTCACACTACATTTTACAAATCCATGCTTTCAAATTGTATCGTTAGATCGATTTTAAAGATCCGGTACTGGAATCTGGTGAAATATACAATTAAATTAATTTTGTAGAGCCCAAAATCACATATTTGCCTCAGAGGGCTTTACAATCTGTACACATACAACATCCTCTGTCCCAGGACCCTCACATCAGGACAGGAAAAACTCCCCAAAAACGCCTCAATGGGGGGGGACCAGAGAGCAACAGAGGATCTCTCTATCAGGATGGACAGAAGTGTGATGGATAGCAAAAAAACGCCTATCCAACATACATTAAATGAACTAATATTTGGATATTTTCATTAAATAACGTAAATATTTTGGTGGTCCACATCTTTTTTTCACAAACTCCTCAAATGTGGGTTTGCTGCGGAGGCTGTTTTTTTTTTAGAAAAACAAGACCGTTTCAGCTCCGTGATGTCTGCTTGGAGCCGTCTACCTCATGAGCACAGAGAACACACGGAAACCACTTGAAGGTTGTGCTGTTTATACGCTCACGACGGTCTGTTGCTTCCTCTCTGCACACACAGACACAAAACCACCGTTTATGCCTGATGTGCAAATGTTATTTCACAGTGACTTAAACTGTGGAGATGTGTAGACACGCAGGGGGCCAGATCCTGCACGTAGTACTTAAAGTTACAGTCTCAATTTAATACGGATGACTCTATATGACTTACAAAAGTCACCATCGAGAAGATTGTCTATATACAGTTATTGTTAGCGGTGCCACCCAGTTGGATTTCCCGCAAAATCTGATGAAATCCTGCAGTTTCACCAGGAAGTACTTCAGCTCACACTCCAGCGGAGACCTGTCCACCGTGGACCGACCCAGATCCGGCTTTGCTGCCTGCCTTTGACCTGCAGTCGGAAGCTCCGGCAGGAGGAGGAGAGCTCAGCGGCAGCGTCTCCTCCTCTGGCCAGGAGCAAAGGCCGTGTTGCTGGGCCCGCTGGAGGGAAGGGAGGGACGGCAGAACCAGAACTGCTTGTAGCAGACTGTCAGACCCTGCTGCAGTTAAATGAGAGCTTTTCTAAAGGGACTCTGGTGATCGGAAACACTACCTCTTTAAACCGCAAAATCAACACAAAATAAAAGTTTTCTTGTTGAAACTTTAAGTATAGTATACAGTAGCAGCTACCGAATCAGAAGGATGCAGTGCTTACTTCCCTGAAAGTACCTGAAATGTCCTTGTTTTATTTCAGAAACTGCATTCAAGGAAATGTGTGTCATGGGACACCAGGAAAGGTTAGAACCCTTTAAATAAATACTGTATATTCATCCAACATATATCTGTACTTCCCTGTTTATTTTGCTCTTACTCCCATAGATGGTAATTAAGCACGTTTTAAATCTGTATTTTCTCTGTGCAGATCCGTGGCAGGTCAATTGGTTGGACGATGGATGCGAGACGCAGCAGAAAGGAGCGAAACACACAGAGTGCCTCTGTAACCATCTGACTTACTTCAGTGTGCTGGTGGTGAGACATGCAAGCAGACACACTGCTATTGTATTACACCAGAGCGTTAGGAACATTAATGACCCAGAAAAGTCGACATCGATGCTTGATTTCACACACGCTTTATGGGAACAGAAACAGTTGTGTTTTGTGCTCTGTTTGTTGCAGCAAATGGAGCCTCGCCCAGTGCGCCACCTCCTGGCCCTGAGCGCCATTACATCTCTGGGCTGTGCTGTGTCTGTGTTGAGCTGTGTCGCTCTCATTGTTTACCTCTACAGGAAGAGGTAATACTACTTTTACATATGCAGTTTTATCGAAATGATTAAGTACAATTAAGTAACCTACTCATTTCCATTCCCCTCTCCCTGTAGCAGGCGATCTAAAGAGCAGTCCATACCCATCCACCTGGGCTTGGCTGTGTCTCTCGGCCTCCTCAACCTGCTCTTCTTCTTCACCGGGGTCCTGGCCAACGTGGGAGGGGAGGGTGTGTGCGTCTGGGTGGGGGCGGGCCTCCACTACACCCTGCTCAGCTCCTTCACCTGGATGGGCGTAGAGGTTTTCCACACCTTCTGGTTGGTGTACATGGTTTTCAGCCCCTCCCCTAAGCCCTATGTGTGGAACCTGGTCGGCTTCGGTGAGCGTAATGAAGTAATATTCATTCATGGCACATTACGGTAAACGTGATATTAATATGTGACCCGTGAACATCCCTTTGCAGCTCTCCCTGCCGTGCCTATAATCATCCTGGCCGCAGTAGGTGACATTTATGGAGTGAGAGAGGTGTTGCCAAGCGATGACGTCTCCAATCCTTACCTGATGTAAGCAAGATTTATTAAGACAAATATATTTGCTGTGGAACATAGTGTCTGGATAGTGACAACTCAGTAAAGTCACCCTATGATTTGACAGCAGCAATCAGCAGGAATACAAATTAATTTAATATGTCGTGATTGCATGTTATTCGTCCTCTCTGGGATTGTGTTCGCTCTTTCTCTCTCTGAGTGCATTTGGTGTTTCCAGGTGCTGGATGAAAAACACCCACAAGGCCCTGCTGGCCCACTATTTCACCAACATGACAGTCCTGGCCATCCTGGTGTCCTCGGGCGTCGTGATGCTCTTCCTGGTCTACAGGGAGATCCGCACCAGGGACGAATGGAGGCAGAACCGCGTGGCTTTTCTCAGCATCTGGGGCCTCAGCTGCCTCTTCGGGACATCTTGGGGTCTGACCTTCCTGGACTTTGGACCCCTTTCCGACGTCGTGCTCTTCCTCTCCTGCATCCTCAACTCTTTTCAAGGTCCGTGCTCGAGGTGCACTGCGCCAGTTAGTCGGTCCAGATTGCTCTTGGGGTTGGCTCTTGCTTCTTTGTATGTTTTTCTCATTTACAAGAGATCATACTACAGAATGATCAAACAGGACAGAGAGTTGCATTTTCACCAGACTTTAAACGGCATTAATGATCCAAAGGGGAGAAAAACACTTGAAATAAGCCACAAGCTACATATTTGTGTAATTTTGTCATCATCTTATCATTACCACCTTCACAGAACTATATATAGTCGGGTATGTTCACTGTTGGCTCAGAGATCGGTGACTGTATCTGGAGCCAGCGGCCCATTGTATCAGTGTGGGAATTAGACAATGGCCGTGGTTATTCAAGGCCTCCTGTTACTGGTGCCTATCAGAACACAAGCTGCTTCCCCTCTCATGCAGGCTGCTTGTGTCTGATTCCAGTCCAGAGGCTCAACTTATTAACCCCATTGTTGCTGCACATTGGTAGTTCAGTAAGAGAATGTTCTATGCCAACTGGCCAACGTGATAGTTGTAGATTTAACAGTTGTTCCATTTGAGTTGTGTAGAATGTGGGTCGTGTAATGTGAGCTAACCTTCGGCACAAACATTCCACGAAGCATGTAAAGAAATACTTCATTTGGGGAAATCTATTTATTTTCTTTCTTGCCGAGTTAGATGAGAAGATCGATGCCACTCTCAGGCCCTTACGGTAAATACGGACCTGCAGCCAGGAGCCAGTTAGCTTAGCTTAGCATAGAAACCGAGGGAAACAACAGTTGACTAATTTCTTTAAACTATATTTTCACAGATACAATGATTAGACATCAAGTTCTCTCTTTAATTGAAAAAGAACATAAAAATTAAATAAGTCCAGCTTCCACTTGCATTGATGTAGTCCCACAGAAACACACATCATTTATGTACATCTCTAAAAGGGAAAAGGGGCGGCTGTGGCTCGGTGGTTCGATCCCCGGTCCACGACGAAGTGTTGTTGGGCAAGACCAGGCGGCAACCTCCGGTTCTGAAAAGTGAATCCAATGTGGAAGGTTCTCAAACCAGTATTCTGTCTACTGACCAGCAGGGGGCGACTCCTCTGGTTGTATAGAGGTCTATGAGACAATGACTCTACTTCTCTCTTGATTTATGACTACCTTGTGATTGACTCCTCTACGCCAAACCATCATCAGGCGATAGCCGTTAATTCCCAAATTGCATTTCGGCCAATGAGTTGCAACTCTTTTGTTCTTCACAAACTGTTGACCTGCATTCAACCCAAGCCTGCCCAATCGGGTTGGTCAATACCACTCGTCTTACAAATGGAAACCACAACGGTTCCCATACCCAAATCCTATGCATATGAACAGATGAAGTTAGCTCCTCCCATTGTAAGATTGTTTGTCTCGCTTTAAGTTAGGATGCAGTCACATCCAATAATAAATATCTATCTGAGACCTGCCTTCACAGGATTTGACTGTCTCCACCTCCCACTTATTGCACACGTAATCCTGAAAAAGTGAAGCGGAGAGAAACCAAAGGGGTGACTGAACCTTGTTGTTCTCTTTGCTCTGCTCTCCCAGGTTTCTTCCTGATGCTGCGGTTCTACATGCTGGACTGGATGCGGAAACAGGCCAGTGGCTCCGCTCTGGGCAGCACCAGCACGGGGTCGACCAGGCAACACATGCTGCAGGCCCAGGAGAACAGTTAGATGGACTGTGTGGTGGCACATCAACGCTGCAGCACCGAAGCTTTTTATGTAAAAACAAATGCAGTCTTCTTGTCAAGGTAGATGAGCAAACGGAGAAGAACTGTGCGCTGTAGATCTGCTGTGTCTTCAGCTGGAATCCTGTCGCCGTGTGCGGCGGTAGCTGAGAGCGAGCTCTCCATCCTCCACCTCTCATTCCTCTGGTCGCTAAACGCAGGCACACCTGACTGGAGCACCAGCTCATCCAGTTCAATGGACTCAGTCGTTCCTGTGTTCGTCGGTCATCTCTCATCAGATGTTGGATTCATTTTGTGATGAATGTTGTTTGTTTAATTAGAGCTCCATATTGCACATGGATGGAGGTTAGCTAAATGTAATCAACGCCTCGCTGGAATGTATTTGAATCAACGGCATCCACTCAGCAGTCAAACCGGTTTAAAAGAGAAAAAACAAACTTGATTACTTTGTTCCTCTTCTCTGGGTCAGTGGAGAAGAGATGAGACCATCACTCAGGAAATACAGGCCAGAAGCCTTTACTTGTAGAATCCCTAGACTGGGTCTAGTTGGAGAAGAGAAAGCATTTATTTGAGATTCTAAATTGTAAACTGGATATAAAGTTAAGCTTTAAATCCAGACAGGGAAACGTGGGGATGTTGAATGATTACAGGTTACTGTGCTGTGATTTCCATTTTATTGTCTGTAAAGAAAAAAAAAAAAAAGAAAAAATATATATATATATATATATAAATAAATAATATTGTTGAAGCTCTCCTTGAACCGTAGATAAGCTTTTTATTTTTTTATTTGTACTTGTACTTTGTTTTTTAGCACTTTTCAATCTTTAAAAAAAAAAAACTGAGTTGTTTTTTGTTTTAATATGCATAATAGATGAGATTTCATATACAGTGTGTGTGCATAGTGTAATAGCTGAATGTTTTATAATAATAGATGTCTCCAGGATCACTCCATTTCTTTATTACTCCAGGCCAAATTCAGACCTTCAGTCAAAATAATTAACAGAAAGAAATCATACTTTTCAGGTCTTCATCTTCAAAATGGACCAAATAAGAGTTCATTCAAACTATCTGGTTGGAAGAATGTGGTCTGATTTAAAATCTAAATTTCATCTTCATGTATATATCATTTTGGTGAATATTTCATGTGAGTTTTTAGATACTGTGATATTTGCACTTTCTTTTTGATTTTCTGAAGTGGCATGTTATGTCACTCAAATGATTGTGTATAGCTGGTTTTTATTGTGTGGATGTATATAGAGAATGAATAAAACATCTTTTAGTTAAAAGGAATGTGTGTTTGTCTGAAAAGTGAAAGTGCAAGGTCAGCATTTCAGAGGCTCACTGTTTTCCTGCTCCTTATCTTCGCCCTGTGCGTTTCCTCCCTGGAGGTTTTGAGATTTCTTGCTCTCTTTACAAACATGCTGCTTGCTTACTATGAGAAATGGAAACGGTTTTCATTCTCCAAGATAGTGGTCCAGAGTGTTGGAAGAAGCAGACTCAACGACCAGAAAAGCTTCAAAACGACTTTTCTCACTGCCAGCCGATGCAGACATGGCAGGCCAGTGTGCCAACGATGACCTCAAACCAGACACAGAAACAAGGGAGATCTCCACAGTGGCGACTCCGCCACCAATAGGACCAGAAAAGCATCTGCACTCTTTTCTACGACTGTTTGTCTGCTCCACAGATAATCATTATTGGTATTTGTTCTATTGGTTTGTTGATATGCCACCTAAACAGGAATCCTGCACATTTGCTCTCCTTACATCAAGGACCACGATGGAAATAAGTCTGTACTGGATCATCCTATGTGTGATTTAATATCCTCCTCACAATAGCAAATAAGCAGAGCAACACAATAAAATGTACTTTTTAAACTTGAAATATACATGTAATACCCTCTGTAGCTGGGATAATTCAGTTCAGCTTTGTGGTTCCTCTTCAAAGGTGCGGCAGCCAACGAAGCCCATGTCTCCTGTGCCTTTTTATTGTCATGGTAAATATTGACTGAAGGTGGGAAACCCTCCTGCACTGTACCTGTCCTATATTAACTATGACTGAGACCGGGGTCTCGATCGTGTGCGACCGTGGCTCACTGGCTTAAGAGGGTTGTCTGGTAACCGCAGGGTCAACGGACTGGGACGTGTCACGTGTCGTAGTGTCCCTGAGCAAGACACTGAACCCCGGGCGCCTGTCATTGGCAGCCCACTGCTCTCTATATACAGGGATGGGTCAAATTTCGTGTATATGTATATGACAATAAAAAGGGATTCTATTCTATTCTATTCTCATGCACCCACGCCGTTCTATACCGTGCTGGTTTTGTCGCCTACATGATAATAGGGCGTACCGTCCAAGGGCCCGTCCCCTCTGCCCCATGCTCTAGGCCTGCTGCAGGCCTGCTCTAATTGCATGTCCACTCTCCACCGGCAGTGTCAGGCCTGATGGCATGGGACTGTGGACAGAAACTGACGCGGGCGAATGTCAAATCAGCCAATTACAACAATATAATAATAAAAAATAATTTCTACTTTAATTTGGACTTTGTGCCTTTAGACAGTTTACACTATGGTGGTCTTTTATTTACCAGAATGTTTCAACATTCTTGTATTTGCGTTTTCTTTATAATTGTTGGTGCATTTATATACATTTCTTTATGAAGTGGTGATGGAAATATATTGCACAAACACAAATATGTCTCATATAATATTGACTTTCCTAACTCTTAAAGCAAAAAAAAAACAGTAGCAGAGTGAATGCCGTGTTCTGTTCCAAAAATAATCCAAACACATACAGACGCATCATGCGGATAGCCGGGATGCTACCGGAGGTGAGGAGGTTCGCATTCAAAATGAAAGCCCAAATTAGCCATTCATCACTTCTTTTTTTATTTTGTGACAGTGTATGTGTTTAGACGAGGTGAACTCGGACATTTTTTTCGTCTGTGTTGTTTCAGTAGGATTCAAAGCCGGTTGGCTGATGGAAGAATAAGTTAGCCGGGTCATTTGGTGCCATTTGAGTCTCCACTACATAATACGGTATATTTTGTGTAAAGATTGGCTTATAGTTCTTTCTAAAAGCGTGTCTTGCATGGTTAACCCCCCTCTACCATAAAACAAAATGATATGTACGCAGGAATAATTTAATTTAAAATAATTACTCCAATTTTAGCACAAGTAGGCTAAACTGCCATGTCCCCAATCATGTTTGGTCAAATTAAGATACAGATATAAGTAATATAAATCAAACAAATTCCACATTTTTCCTCATTGTTGTATAGCTATAATTATAATATTCCTCACCAAATGTTATTACTGCGCTTTTAATGCTTAACGTCTAAGATATGTTTTGTCCCTGAGTTGACTGTCCCCCCTGTTACTATGATGCAAATCTCCCTGCACACGCCTCCTGACATTCCCTTAAGTCATGCGACTAAGGAAGTAGCATACACTTTTTTGGGGAAAATAATCTACAAGAAGCAGAGTAAGTATCACTCTTTAATAAACATTTTTAATCAATGTGTTAGAATGCTTGAATGATGTTGTAAACCATAACATGTCCACCCTGTTACTGTGCAAAACAGGGTATAGTAACCGGGTGGAAATGACATTGTGCCTTAAAATAGAGAACAACTTTTTTTCAAATTAAAGCTTGTTTGTAAATACTGTTCAAAATATATTTTAAGGCTAAAGTAAGGGATATTTTTACTCTTAGAAAATGTAATTACAATACCTGTGTATTCAAAACACATATTAATAGAGATGTGAATGTCCTGTAACAGGGTGGACATTTGGTCTTGCTCACATGTATAGAATTGTTCATTCGACTTGACACATTCATTACAACACTGTTTGAGAGCGAGAGAGATTTAAAACAAAAACAAAACTGCTATATCCACTGTAGTTGCGGCCAATTTGATTGGGAATCTTTATTTTGAAAGTCATACGCGGAAGTCACGTGTAGTAGTTCAATGTTATTGACACCGGTTATTCTAGTGAGGAAACACTAAAAGGGGTTGTTTTTTTAACCATAGTGTTCCTTATTGTGTGGAAGAAGACATGGGACTCCCAGTACATATGTAACATTGTATCAATAAATAGACTGCTGCTACTGTAGCTCTGGTGACCTAAACCACTTTATGGTTAACATTCACGTTAGGATCAGAGATATACTCATCACTATCCACCCTTTAATTCAGCAATTGTTGAAATGATTTATCCACAATTTTGCATACATTTGAGTCTGTAGTGTTGCCATAACGTGCATTTTAGAGTTTATTTCATTGTTTGTCTATTTTGACCCACTTCACATGAAGTACACGAAGTAGGACTAAGCCTCTCAATGTTACCCATTCTTTGATCGCAGTAATCAGCTACACAGTATTGGGCTTTGGTGAAGCTGACACTGTTACACATTAAACCTTAAACTTTCTTACAGAACATCCTGGTTACAGTTTATTCAACATGTGAGGAAATGAGGCTGTTGTATTAATGTCACTGTCAAGGGAGTTCTGGACAGGACCCAATAGCAACAGAATTTGAGGACAAGGAAATACTTAAACTAGAAAATGCATTGTAATGCTGAAAGGTGAAATTAATTGCAAAAACATTGCTGAAAATAGAGAAATGGGAGACTACCTGTCTGAAAAATGTTGAAGCCTGAAAGCATTTAAACTGCACTGCTGAAAACCCTTCTAGTTTAACTATGGTGTCTGTAGCTGACCGTATGAGGAAGGAGAAGACTGTATGGACTGACAACACAGGTCTGGAGGACCAGGGTTCAAATACTGCCCAGATCTCATTAGTAGGATCTGGGTCTGGTGTGTCAGCCTGCAGGAGGTGATTAACTGAAGTGTCTGCAGCTGTGTGGCCATGGGAGGCGTCTGGTCTGTCAGGGATCCTGACAGTCACAGGCTTTAAAAAAAATAATAAGGAAAGTGAAGAAGTAGATGAATAGCTTTCATTATGTCATGTTTACCTCCACAGCTGGGCCTGCCTCTGGTTACACAGGGAGCTGAAAACAATGCTCAAATGACTCGCAGCCACAAACGGTATATATTGCTCTATCAGACAGAAACACAGTGTGCATGCTCACATACAAGCGCACTAGTTAAAGATATAAAATAAATACAAAATTATCAAAGTAAGTAGGGCTGCAACTGATGATTTATTTTTGCATTACTGATAAATGTGCATGTTCAATTTCCAAAAGCCAATAGTTAAGTAAGAAAGGCATGTTTTTTCCAACCCACAGTCCAAAACCCCTTCTAGAATCTGGAACCGCAGCATGTTTGACATGTTTGTTTGACAGATGACTTCAACAGTTAATCGATTATTAGAATAGCTGCAGATTAGTCTTCCACCGATCAACTAGTCGTTTAACTGTTTCAGCTCCAAATGTGAAATAGATTGTTATCTGTGAAGGGATGTCAGCCAGCTGTCACAGCAGCAGGCAGAAGACAAAGCACATCTGTCAAAAGAAGATCTGACTCTGTTGATCAGCACGTGTCCGTCGTCGAGTAAGGAGATTCGAGTTAACGGCAGCGCGGTTGTCCGTGTCATCGATCGGTCTGTCATCGTCAGATAAACAGGTGGTGGGTTTGCGCATGCGGAACAGACGCCTAATGATTGAAGTGAAGCATGCGCAGAGACGCAACGCACGTGCGTCAGCCCTTTGTAAAAAAAAACACCCTTTAGTCCGATTTATAGTTCTGTTGTCGGCCTGGAGGTAGTCCACATCGTTCTCTCAGGGTGCTACCATCTTTAGGCCAACTTCACAATATCGTTTCCCTTACAACACATGTTAAGTTGAATGTGATCATCCAGAAAACATCAGATGGTCTGACATTACTTTGGATGTTGTTTGTGTGTTACACAGTGACCTTTAAATATGGCCGCTGTGGTGGTCGCTCATGATTTAGCTCTAGTGATTGATATGAAAAGACAGCATTGTGCTCATGTCTCTTCATGCCAGCGTGTCACCACCAGATAACAAACTGTTGTGTTGTGGCACTTTGCTCTTGCCAATACCAGATTATTCACTAGATGTGTTTTTTTACTGGCAGTAGACTAGTTTTAATATTTCACACATGTAGTACTTGCGTTTTTATCCACTTTCTATTGATAATTGCGGCAGCTCCCATTCTCTGTTCATATTTATTTATTTTTGTCCCCACTGATCAGCACCATGGACAGTAAATCACTCCTCCACCTCCGCGGTCCCTGTTTCCACTCCCACTGCCCTCTCTGTTACATGTGGTTCATCCCAAACCTCTTCCATGACTCCCTGCCTCCTCTACTCTGTGCTCAAGTTTTGACCTTTATTTTTTGACACATTAGAGATTAGACACAAGACGCTTCTGTGACTCAGCTCCTCTTTACATCACCGCCAATGACTTGTCACATCTCAATCTGTTAGACAGGTTGTTCCTACGGTTGCCAGAAAAAGGACCGCAGTGCCCGCAGACGGTCCTCAGACGGCGCCATGGCCGCCCACGAGGAATCCAGGAACTCGAACGGCAGTGCCGGCGGCTCCCCCCGCCTCTCGGAGCCCCCCAAAGAGAGCATGCAGCTCAAGAAGGAGATCTCGCTGCTCAACGGGATCAGCCTGATCGTGGGGAACATGATCGGCTCGGGCATCTTCGTGTCCCCGAAGGGCGTGCTGATCTACAGCGCCTCCTACGGGCTGTCGCTACTCATCTGGGCCATCGGGGGCCTGTTCTCCGTGGTGGGGGCCCTCTGCTATGCCGAGCTGGGCACCACCATCACCAAATCGGGGGCATCTTACGCGTACATCCTGGAGTCCTTCGGCGGCTTCGTCGCCTTCATCCGCCTGTGGACGTCTCTGCTGATCATTGAGCCCACGAGCCAGGCCATCATAGCCATCACGTTTGCCAACTACCTGGTGCAGCCGCTCTTCCCCACATGTGAGCCGCCGTACATGGCGGCCAGGCTCATCGCCGTGGCATGCTTATGTAAGTACCTCTGATCCGGTCTGTGTCCCTCTGCTGTCTAGTTGTTCCCACAACCACAAGAGCGCCTGTGAACGCCTTCCTCTCTCCCCAGGCTTACTGACATTCATCAACTCCGCCTACGTGAAGTGGGGCACCCGCATGCAGGACGTTTCCACCTACGCCAAGGTGGCGGCCCTCATCGTCATCATCATTACCGGCATCGTCAAGCTGTGCAAAGGTGAGCCATGTTCCTCTGTAGTGTGCCAGGCTCAAACTTTTGCTTGGCTCACACAATTAGAGGAGAAATCAGGGACATGGATATCGTCCAGTCAACAGTAGGAATCATACGACGAAGGAATACCGCTCTTTATTGAAATATTTACTGACAAGTTGTTCCTTTAATTGTTTTGCGTCTCTCGTAGGTTACACTGCCAACTTCGAGTCATCCTTTCAGGGATCGTCCACAGAGCCCGGGGACATCACGCTGGCGCTCTACTCCGCCCTTTTCTCCTATGCCGGCTGGGACACCCTCAACTTTGTCACCGAGGAGATCAAAAATCCCGAGAGGTATACTTTTCCTTCTGTGCAACTTTTGTACCGTAGAAAAGGCTGAGCAGTCCGAATAATGACCCAACGTCCCGTTGTTCCAGGAACCTGCCCCTGGCCATCGCCATCTCCATGCCCATCGTCACTGTCATCTACATCCTCACCAACGTGGCCTACTATGCAGTTCTGGATGTCAGCGCCATACTGGCCAGTGACGCCGTGGCAGTGGTGAGTAAAACGAACCGTAACTGCACAAACTAACAAGAGGAGGAGATGGAGAACCGATGCCGCTAAACCACGTTCTGTGTCCCGTTCAGACGTTTGCAGATCAAACTCTTGGCATGATGAGCTGGACCATCCCCATTGCTGTGGCTCTGTCCTGTTACGGAGGCCTCAATTCCTCCATTATAGCTGCATCCAGGTAGAACACACACACACACACACACACACACACACACACACACAACAGTTTAAACAGCACTGCTGCTCTGATTGTTTGCTAACTGTCCTTTGCAGAGGTTCAATTTCATAAGAACAGTATAAAAGGCTGATACTTTGCAGCTTGGTGTTTTCCGTCTTAACTCCTGTTTGTCGTGTCCAGGTTGTTCTTTGTGGGCTCTCGTGAGGGCCACCTTCCAGACGCTCTGTCCATGATCCACATACAGAGATTCACTCCCATCCCCGCTCTCATCTTCAACGTACGGAAGTGGATCAATTGCTTGTTGGTTATAGTGGAGGAAGTGCAGGAAACTTCCACCTAATGGTAGTTAACTGTAAGGTGGATCCTTTTCTCTTACTAGTCTCCATCATATTGGCTAACTTCCATTCTAAAATAAATATGTAAACTAAAAATATCTGGCAGCTGTAAATAATAATAAATAAATAAAAATTAAAAGGCAAAAGTAATGGAATCTACATGAACTGACTCATTAAGCAGCTTTTATCCACTGGTATCTCCCTCCTCTGTCCAGTGTGTCATGTCGCTGATCTACCTGACAGTGGAGGACGTCTTCCAGCTCATCAACTACTACAGCTTCAACTACTGGTTCTTCATGGGCCTGTCCATCGCCGGACAGATCTACCTCCACTGGAAAGAGCCGGACAGACCCAGACCTCTCAAGGTGAGACCAGTTCAAACTCACTGTGTGAATCCTGTCCATCCACCCACCCATCCATCCATCCACCCATCCATCCATCCATCCATCCACCCATCCATCCATCTATCCACCCACCCATCCATCCATCCATCCATCCATCCACCCATCCATCTATCCCACCATCTATCCATCCATCCATCCATCCACCCATCCATCTACCCACCCATCCATCCACCCACCCATCCATCCATCCCACCATCTATCCATCCATCTACCCATCCATCCACCCACCCATCCACCCATCCATCCACCCACCCATCCATTCATCCATCCATCTACCCATCCACCCATCTACCCATCCATCCATCCATCCATCCCCCCCATCCACCCATCTACCCATCCATCCCACCATCTACCCATCCATCAATCCACCCACCCACCCACCCATCCATCTACCCATCCATCTACCCATCCATCTACACATCCATACCTCCATCCATCCATAGTCTGCCACTCACCCGGCTCTGGGTCATAGCAGAACAGGAATTTAAATGTGATCAATAATCGTTGATTGATACATTGATTGATACTTACCACAACATAAGGAGCCCATATTGGAGACTAATGTGTTTAAAGTAGGGCTGGGCAAGTTAACGCGTTATTATCGCGTTAACGCATTAATTAATTAACGCCGACAATTATTTTATCGCGTTAACACAGTTTTTATTATTAGGTTTTATTACTTTTGAATTCATTATTGAATTTTGCGCATAACAATGCGATTAATCGCAATAAAAAATTGTAATCTAGTCACTAGTTTAAAGTGTTTATTCCTTATTCATTACCTTTGTTGGTGTCTTTTGTGTGCGTGTTTTGTTTGTTACTGTAGACGATGAACATATTATTTGTTTTATATTTCTGATCCCACATATATATAAATACATTTCCTTCTGCAAACTTTGACAAATAGTGCATGTGTGTCCTTATAGATACCTTTACAGATGCAACTGAAGGAATGCATTCATTTAATTTGTATTAAATGTATTACATTTTTATCTATCCATATTACAAATGGAGTTATTTCCATTTTTATATTGGCTATGATGACAGATTGTGGATAAGTTAACAGATAATATAAGGAGCAAGTAAAAGATCGTTAATTGAACATTAGTATTAAAGCATTAATGAGTGCCACCATTCGGTGTACAGCTGTCTCTGTTCTACCCGGTGGTGTTCTGCATGTGCACCGTCTTCCTGGTGGCAGTTCCTCTCTACAGTCACACCATCAACTCCCTCATCGGCATTGGCATCGCGCTGTCGGGGATCCCAGTCTACTTCCTGGGCGTGTACCTGCCGGAGTCCAAACGGCCGCCCGTCATCACCAAGCTACTGCGTGAGTTTACCGGCCGTCTGAGAGGCAAAGCGGGAAGCCTCTCTCAAGCAGCTAACGCGTTGTTGTGGTTTCTCTCACCGCAGGCTCTCTGACTCACTCCACCCAGTCCTCCTGCTACTGTGTGCTGACAGAGATGGACAAAAGCGAGTAGCGTGGATCCAGGATCCTCACACGGCGGACGGTCACCGGACGGGGGATTCTTCTGTGGAGGGGAGAAGAAACGGAAAAAAAAGGATTTGGTTGTACTGTTCTCCACGTTGAAGCTCTCAGACTCCTCTGACTTGTTTACGGTACTGAAAGTGCTGCCGCTCACTGATTTGATCACAGAAGTCAAGGACATTCAAAGACTCCACCCGTTGAGGAAAGAGGGTACCGCTGCTGTGGACACTGTGACACTTTCAGATTCTCCGATGACCTCTTATTATATAGGGTTTGCCTTGTTAGTTCCGCAGGTAATTTGCTGAAAGCCTTTAAACAGTAGGTGCCTGGGATATCTTACAGATGCTGCTCACGGGGACCACAAGGATGCAAGAATTGTTTTAAACATATTTCACATGTGCAGTATGTGAGAATATGCTGAGGATTAAAAGAAGTTCACTTCAAAAAAAAGGAATACAATTTTTTTGTTTTTTTTGGTCTGCTGCTGTGTGAACACTTTAGGTCATCCTCTAATTGTTATTGCCTTTATGTATTATTAAAGTCATTGTCTGGTAGTTTTTTTTATTTTTCATGTTTGTGTGGGGTCTACTTTAAATAAAGTATGCGGTTGTCGTGAGTCTATGGTTTAATGGTTGTGCTTGTATGTGCGTGAAGACATTTCTTAATTTGACTCTACGTACTCCGTACTGTTTGAATGTTTTCAGTCACAGAGAGAAGTTATAATGATTAATAAGAATAAACCAAATGTAGCAGAAGGGAGCTTTTACCACTCGCAGGGCCTCGGTGTACCTTTAATTACAAGACCAACACTAGCCAATCACGGTGGGCAGGCATCATATCAATGCGACGGGGATTCCCTTACAAACTTACCACAAGATAGAAAAACATTTCTAAATGATTATGGTCGAGATTGTTATCCCTTGAATAATTATTATGGACATATTTCAGTTATTTTAACATAAAAACAAAGAGTAAAGGGTTTGTTTGTGACTGTTCACCTCTCCATCACGTTGATTGAAGGTCATAAAGAAAGCCCCGTTTTCGCTGTATCTGTGGTGCAGCACTGACTGCTGTGATTGATGCTCATCGCTCCTCTCCTCCAGGTGGAGGCGCTGTAGGACAAACAAACACGACTGGTTTCTGAATGTTTTCACGGGAACTATAGAGAAGCAGTGATGAAGCTGCTGTAACATGTAAACACGTTGTTGTATCAGCTGTTTACAGAGTGTAAAAAGACTGGGTCCCGCTGTGTTACTCAGGCTGCACTACAGCGTCTATTCACAGGTGCGATCCCACTACTGCGCGGTACGGGGGCTTTGACCTGCTCCGTCTCCGACCTGGGCCGGTGCACCCCTCCTTAGACGACCTGGTGGTCCCGGGCTTCCCCAGGAGCACCATACCGATACCGAACTTAGTGCGGACGCCCGATCTTCATAGTCCGCTGCAGCTCAGAGCTCCTGAGCTCAACCGATCCTCCAGCCTCAGCCTCCCGGTAACTTGGATTACAGGCGCGCGCCATCGCACCCGGCGAGAGAGCTGTTCATTCAGAAAGGTTTGGGCTTTCACAAACGTGACGTCATCAGGGTGATCAAGCAGAATCCAGTGATGAAAACAAAACCTGCAGCTGCAACGTTGAAGGCTGATCAGCATCTGTACAATTGACCTAAAACCTCATTTGAATAAAGATCAATACTTTATCTCGTATCTTTAAACATCTGTGCTCAGTATGAGTTTATCAGCCACAGTCATGCACAGTTGATGTTTCTCATAATGTCAGCAGATTGCATGATACAATAACTTGTATTCACAATCTGTGATTCAAATATAAAGAAGTTCGGCTTGTTCTGACACTTAATGACAGTATGTTGAGCTGAGTAGCTATTTAAACCAAAGATTTAATCATATTTACCTCTGCCTTTATTGGTTATTGATACAGATATGTTGAATGCTGATTATTTCATCTGATATTTGATGGTTAACTTGCAACCTAGTTATATACATTATGCATTTACTTTTTATATTTGTGTCATTTAAGAACCAAACATTCCTACATGGAAGAGTGAGCATGTGTTGATCACGAGGCAATAAATAATGACAATTGAAAAATAAAGAGATGTTTGGTTTATTCTTATTAATCATTATACATAATTGAACTGCCTCATTGATGTATTTGTCACACTTAAATCCTGAATAGAATGGTTAAACAGAAGAGGTCAGAGGGCCAAGATGAGAAGATGTGTCGGTCAAATACTGTGGTCCAAATAAAATGACTTCAGTTTTATTGGCATTGATACAGAAGGTTTGACTCTAGCATGTTTTACATTTTTTTCCTAATCTCACAAGACAAGATCAAAAACCAGATGAATTAGTTCTCCTCTCTTCTTTGCCACCATGTTATGTCTCGTGACCCCTCAGATTGAAATCTGGAGCTCCAGGCGGATGCAGATCTTCAGATTTTGACGATGTCTAGGAGTTCGGGAAGAACCAGAGAAGTGCTCAGCTGCCCAATTTGCAAGGGATCAGATAAGGTCCTTCATCCATTTAGAATGTCGAACTGTGAAATGGTCTGTGCCCCTCTGATTACACTGGGGGCATGTGACTCTTTTCAGCATGGCTCCACCTCTTCATACATTTAAACTAGTTAAGTGACTGCTCCCTGAGAACGAGCAGCCCAACTGTCTTGATAGTGACCGATCCGAAAGGCACAAGTAATAGTTCTACTTGATTCCATTATCTTGAAATCACAAGCTAATATATTTATTCATAACATAATATTTCAATTGACATGTAAAATACTGCACTAACATTGTGTTTTCTTTTTTCTTTTTATTATTATTACAGCTATTGTTATTATTCATTAAAATAATAATATTATCATTCCCCAAAAACTATTGCTTCTTTGTATTATATTCCATATCCTCACCCTTTGACTTAAGAGCTGCTGGCCAATGAAATGAGCACCCTGTAACTGCTCTGTGGGCTGGACTTCCTTTAAGGACAGATGATGTGAGATGGACCTCATAGAAAAATACAACTGGATAACAAACACACACACACACGCGCGCGCGCGCGCACACACACACACACACACACACACACACACACACACACACACACAC